CACACTGCTCCTCTCTGGCTTGTTTTTATATGTCCATGAGAATGTCCTCTCCTGTTCTACTAAGCATTCTTTCTGTGACACAGATTGTTGTGTTTACTTTGAACATTTTAGTCGAATGTATTCCTATTGCTCACTGCTGTACACACTCAGTTCAGTCATCTAGCAGACAGGTGCTCATTTTAACAATATGAATAATTATAATCAGTATGAAGAAACAAATGAAGAACTCAGGAAAGGAGAATAGTCCCCTACTGACCATAGGCCACGTGCTCTGTGTTAGCAAGTGTGAGGAGGAGTCAGCAGGTAGCCAAGACCTTTCAGAAGCAAAGCCCTTTACTTTCTCTCTCTTTTATAATTAAAGTTTATCCATTTATTTCTTCCATGAAAGACCAAGAAAAGTGGAAAGAGACAGAGAGGAGCCCTCAACAGGATCCCCATGCTATGATCTACCCCTGTCTTAGCTGGCCTGGATCATGGCACACATACACATGACTGGTGTGCTCAGAGGGGTCCCAGGATACAACCCAGAGACGTCTCCCATGTTGCCTGGTTTTGTCACTGCTGTGCCACCTGCTGGCCCAAGTTCTGCCTCTTAATCCTTCATAGCTTCTCTGCCGAGAGTCAGATCCAGATTTTGTAAGCTTGACACTTAACACCACTTGGGAGTTCTTTATTATGAAAAATAATAAAAAGTTCAAATACACAATTAGCTACAAAAATGATAAATAGCAAACCACACGTTTTTAAAAACTGACATACAGCAAATTACACATTTTAAAAAGTTGACATATACTCTAATGCCTCATAAAATTCATAGAAGTAACATCGTTTTTCAACTTAATTAACTGCTTGATGCAACTCTGCAATAATATTTCCCTACTATTTTTGGCTGCATGCTCTGATTATTTCTTTAGATGACAAATGATAAGATTTCAAGGAATTTCCATTTCCCTTAAGTGGAGACCAATTTCACATACTCTTGCATTGACAACATTCATTACCCAGTTTGCTATCAATATCCCCCCTGTAGTAGCATATTATACATTTTATATTATCCTAATCAGTGTTGGTATTGCCTGTCAAATCAGCAAGAAATTTACATTTTTTTTAGTCTGTTTGTATGATTCACCCCCTTTTCACTAATTTGATTATCAAATGATCCAAAACACATTTTTTTTCAAAATGTATCTCTTCTTTTTAATTCCTTATGGCTCTTGATATAAAGTGAAATTAAAAAATATATAATTAGCTTCTAGATTTAGATTAATATCCCTTATTCATTGCATTTGCTTCACATGCCATTCATTTTAATCTGAATTCTCTGTATATTTATAAATATTAAATAAATATTATGATAAAAGAAAGTATTGTTCATATTTACCTAATTCAAAATCTGTGGTTTCTTACTATTTTATTGAAATGTCTTTCCAAGTTACAGTTAAAATCATGTGTGCAACCTTTATCAACTTTTTATTTTTTTAATTTTTATTTTTTACCTAAGTTTATTTATTTACATTCATTTACTATACATCATTATAGCATACAAAATGAGATTTTTCATCTAGAATACACTGTATATTGGCTCCATCAAACACAGCAGCACATGTGTTATCATGAACAAATAATTTTTCCATTTCTTTTTTCCTGTATATTTTGCTTTTTTCCCCATCCTTGATTCCCTATCTCTCACCCCCTGCCGTGTCCCACCTTCCTCCCACATTGTCTCTGGTATCTGTGGTTGCTTTCTATGCCTTCTCCCCCATTTTATTGATTTGCTAATGAACTTAATTAATCTAAATTTTTCCAATAGCAAGCACAGCTGATATATACATAGCCATGAGCACAAGTCTGAATTTAGGCATAAACCTCAGTGAGTAGAATGAACATACTATAAAGTAGCACGTAGTTGGGGCTATATAGCTTACTGCAGTGCTCAAATATGCATTTTTTTTCTGAAACTTTTTTTTAATTAATTAACGTACATTCATCCCCTAATCATCATCACAGCATAGAAAAAGTGATTTCCCAGCCAGAATATACTATATAGTGGCTTAATCACGTATGTTATCATGAATAATTTTCCATTTCTATTTTCACATATGTATGTGTGTGTATGTGTATATAATATATAAGTGCGTGTGTATATATATATATGTGTGTGTGTATATATACGTGTGTGTATATGTATGTGTGTGTGTGTGTGTGTGTGTGTATATATATATATATTTATATTTACCCCTATGTCTGACCCTCTACCATTTCCCATCCTTTTCTCATACTATCTCTGGTATCTACAGTTGAATTCCATTCCTTTTCATCCACTTTTTATTGATTACACAATTTCTTAAATAATCTAACTACTTTCAATAGCAAGTTCAGCTGGTAATTTCAAGAAAAGCAGGTTTGAATTGGTAAGGAAATTTGCTTAAAACTTAAAGCCTGGAAACAGGTTAGTATTCTGTTCAAATAGCAGGTACATGAAGCTATTGATAGCTCAAGACAAGACAAAAACTCTTAAAACCGCATAACAAAGCCTAGAAGAAAAACAGCAATATTTTAGTCAAAAGTCACAGAATACTATTTCACCAGTTCAGTCTCATGTACTTTATCTTCTGTTGTGATTCGATCTTCCCAATTGAATTCTGGGATATAATATTCAAATCCAGACTTGTCCCTATAATTAAGTTGGCCATTTTCTTAGTTTTTGAACTCTTACTTCTGTGTGACTACATTTAATTTTCCTGACATAGCACTCCCTTGAGAACTTCTTGGCGATCTGGTCTGGTGCTGGTAAATTCTTTTAGGTTTTGTTTATCTGAGAATGTTCTTGTCTTTTCTTCCCATATGAAGGATAATCTTGCCAGGTATAGTATTCTCAGTTGCAATTGCTTTTCCCTTAACACTTTGAATATATTTTCCCATTCTTTCTTCACTCACGTTGTTTCCAATGAGAAGTCTGTTGTTAGTCTGATGGGATATTCTTTGTAGGTAACTTGTTGTTTCTCTCTTGCCAATCTTAGTATCTTGTCTTTGTCTGTGGTTTTGGTCAGTCTGGTTATAATGTGTCTCGCAGGAGATCTTCCTGTGTTGATTCTATTTGGGGTTCTTTGTTTTTCTTGGGACTGGATCTTTGAGTGCCTCTAGGTTTGGAAAGTTGTTTTTTGCAGGATTTCATGGAATAGATTATCAATGCCCTTATGAGTCTCTTCGCCTTCTGGGATGCCAATTATCTGGATGTTTGGATGTCTGATAGTATCTAGTATTTCTTGTATATTATTCTTAAATTATTGGACAGTTTTCTCAGTCTTCATGGTGGATTTTTCTAGGCTAGCAATTTTCTTTTCTACATCTGAGATTCTATTTTCTGTATGATCTAGACTGCTTTTAATACTTTCAAGAGAGATTTTAACTTCCTGTATTATAGTCTTCATCTTTAACAGTTCCATTTGATTCTTTTGTAAAGTGTGTAATTCTTCTTTTAGATTTTGCAAGAATTTCCTCACCTCCCAGAACTCGTCAGTTCCTTTTTCCTTTCTCTTCTACAGTTAACTGTCTTTCTTCTCTTCCATCTCTGTTAGCTTCGTCATTATGAATGTTCTAAATTCTTTATCAGACATGTCCATGATTTCCATTGAACATCTGTGGACGAAGATAAGTTATTCTTTTCCCTTGGAGGAGGAGTATTTTCTTGCTTTCCCATATTTCTTGTGGTTCTGCGGTGATTTCTAGTCATCTGATGGAAAGTGTGTTTCTTCCCAAACTTGAAGTTCAATCTGAGCATCCAGGAGCATGCAGAAAAGGAAACAGAGAGAGAGAAGCAACAGCAACAAAAACAACCAAGAAACAGAGAAAAAGAGAAGAAAAAAACTATAAAAAATTAAAAAAATATATATTTTTTTACAAAGCAAAAATTAGAAAACCATGTGGCATGAAACCACTAGTTCTTAGTAGCCATAAAGATATCTTCTGAGGTCTGCTCCCTTGCCTCTCCTGGGTTGGGAGAGAGAGAGGGGATTATTAACAAGATAGAGGGAAAGGAGGGGCTGAAAGCCAAGAAACTGCTTTACTTTAAAAAATTTTAAAAAGGAAAAATTACAAAAAAAGACAGAGACAGAGACAGAGGTAGAGAGAGACAAATACAGGGACAGAGACAGGAGGCTTGAAAGTATGCCTACCACACAAGTTTGTGGGCTGGAGGCTGAATTATCAGCGGAAAATCTTCATTTCTCCTATTCCCCTGAAATCACTAGTTCTCAGTAGCCATGAAGGTATCTTCTCCAGACAGTATTCTTACAATAACACAGCCTCAAACAAATATGGAAGAACTGAGTCCTCCAGAGTCAAGTACCTTTTTCTTTGGAGAGGTTTTTTTTAATAGGGCACGTGCACTCGCCAGAAAGACAGAGAAAGAGAGAAATCACCGCCCCCCGCCCCCGGGGGTGGGGGATGGCCATGCTGCAATCTCTTCTCTTCCATTCTCCTCTTGGGATCTTGGGCACACATGCACACACTCCTAACGTGAGTTTAAGTCACCAGATCTGGGACACAAACCATAGTCAACTACATGGGAGTCCAACGACATAGCCATTATGCCAACTGCTGGTCCCTCAAGTACCTTTCTAAAGGAAGAACTGCTACTAGTGGCACAGGTAAGTGCCATGGAAATCAGTCAAATGCTCTTCAATTACCTGGTTCCGCAGTTCTCACGTTTAGGGAATAAGCTACAACTCATCTAATTAAACAGCTATTTATTTCACACTTTGACGATTATCAATAGGACCAATAAGGAAAAACACAAAAGCAACAAATAAATGGGCTACTCATTCCACACTGAGTTCTGCTAAATAAAACAACTTTCACTAAGGGATTCCAAGAAGATACACTATGATTTAAATATTAGGTCTCTTTATGAAGGCTCATAAAGCATACACATTCAACAGAAAGTTTCCACACTGCTTTCTGCTAAAAAGATGTGTGTGGGGGATCTGTTCATAGCATACCTAGGGTGTCACATGGTTCATTCTTCCAGGAACAGATATCGAATCCCGTGAGTAAGATGGCGTGGTCGTGCCTCTTGCCGTTCTTTCCTATGAGGGCAGACTGCCACTGACAAAAACTATTCAGAGACTGGTCTGCATGATGGTTGATCAATAATCCTCCCTATGGGAAACCCACACAAATCAGAGTGTGAATTTGTCAGAGGTGAGAACGTTGAATCATCCCATTTGTACAGGCAAACACAGAAACATGTTCTAGGGAAAAAGGTCAGTAGAGGAAAACACTTGAGCTGAGGTAGGAGACAGGGAAAATATTTTAGGTAAATACAATATTTAAAGCAACTACAAAGATTCAGCAGTTCATGTAGTTCATGACCAGTTACATTTCTACAATAAATAATCTGCAATTAGTCAGCACACCTATTTTCAAATTTGAATTTCTTTTGTAAAGACCTCACTACGAGTTACTTTTATAAAATGTTTGTAACTTTAGAACATAACAACAAATTGATGATGATGAAGTTCAATGGTTTCCTCAACACAGCATGAGGAAGGTGGTAACCACAGCTTTTTTATTTTTTACCTCTAAGTCAGAATTTCCAGCAAAAGGTTTGTATGTCATAGGTTGCAATCAGTCAATACAATGAACGTTAATTGAGTGGGTGAATAAATATACAGTTATAAGATGATAAAGGGTAAGTCAAAACCTACTCTTAAAATAATCATTTATTGGGACCAGCAGTTAGCGTAATGGCTATGTCGCTGGACTCCCACGTAGTCGACCGCGGTTTGAGTCCCGGACCCGGTGGCTTAAACTCACGCCGGGCGCGTGTGCGTACGTGCCCAAGATCCCGAGAGGAGAATGGAGGAGAAGGGATTGCGGCGTGACCATCCCCCCTGGGGGGTGATTTCCTGCTTTCTATCTCTCTGTCTCTCTCTGTCTGTCTGGCGAGCGCACGCGCGCTATAGCAAAAACCTCTCACAAAAAAAAAAACAAAACAAAATAATCATTTATTATAATATTTGCTTAGTCAGAACTATTGACCAGGGTCAAGTTGAGGGCTTTTAGACAGGATCTTTAATGATCAATGAATTAGGATGCCCCTGGCTTAAATGTCCTTGGGCACTGCGTAAGTGGTTGGCTAAAGACAGAAGTATTTCTCAACCAACACAAACTTTCTGTCTTTCTAAAATTCCAAGAATAATTTGACAACTTGTTAACCCCTATAGCTCTGCACACCTGGGCAATTAGATTCTTTTTTTTCTTGTCTCTTAACTCCTTGTTCTTTTTACATTCTTTACTGGGGTTACAGAGGAAGAGGAAAAGCCTCAGGGGACTTGAAGAAAAAAAAAAAGAGAGAGTATTTGATTGGTAATCCCTACCTCCAAGAAAAAGAGCTTAAACATCAAAAAACTCCAAAGCAGTGAGTACCATGCAATTTATCATGTTATTATATGTTCTGGTTTATGACCTGCCCCATCTCTGTCTTGCACTTCACTATAATCAATTCAATGGCAGGTAAGTAGCCTTTGTCTATTCTCTGTAGTTCCTCATTTAATATGGGGTGACAGGGTTACAACAAATGTTTTTTGATGACTTTTTTTCAGTATATTTCCAAAATATTCTTCCACATCTGCCTGCAATTACCCAGCATAACTAACTTGCAAAATTCAATCCTTAAATCTATAGCCATATATACCTTCTTGGTGAAGCCTATATAACAGTGGTTTCTCTACATAGTACTTATGCTTTATATTTGTATTTATATTATAAATGCATATTTAATGATATTCATGTTCCACAGTATATATATATATATATATATATACACACACACATATAAATGTATATATAAATAATTATTTTATGATATTCAGTTTAATAACTTAATTATATAGTCCTATTAAATTATACTTTCAGGTTAGCATATTTTCAAATTTGAATTTCTTTTTTCTTTAACTTGCTAGAGGGTATGAGCACTTGCCAGAGACAGACAGAAGGGGCGGGGAAGAAAGTGCTCCCTGTGGGGACTGGTCACATTGCAATCTTTTCTCCTTCATATCTCTTTTCAGGATTTTGGAGATGTGTACACACATGCTTAACTGTGCTTTGCAAGCCAGTGAGTCCAGGGTTTGAGCTGTGCTGTCAGCCATGTGGAATCCAGGCACCTTAACCACCATGCCACTGGTTGGCCCAAAATTTGAATTTTTAATGATTAGTGCAAGGATTAGCACATAGCAGGTGTTCAATATATGTATCCTGAATGGCAGAATAAACAAAGAAATGAATAAAGTTTACCACTTACAGGTTCTTGTTCCAGAAGAATGAGGCTCACCACAACAATGTTTATTTCACTTCCAATGGTTCCATCTTTAAACAGACTGGAAACCTGTTGGAATAATTCATATAAAAAAAAAAACCTCAAAATTTCCAAAACTGTATAGGGGGTGCCAGTCAGACATATTTACAAATATGTAGACTTGAGATCTACCAAATACACATACATATGAAAACAATTTTACAAAATTCAACTTGTTTTTCTTCTTCAATAAAACCACATAGCTCCATCAGCTTTTATTTTATTATTATTTTTATATATTATTATTTATACATTAAATCACTATACATCATTTAGATTGTGAAGAGACTTCATCCAGCATGATATAAACCTCAGTCCAGCCCAGTTGAGACCACCACACACAACCTCATCAACAGATAATAAACCTTATCTGTGTCCCACAAGTGTCTTACCTCTCCAGCTTTTCAACCCATGGACGGAAACTATGGTGTTAAACTTTACTGAAGAGCCAGAGGGTTCAGGACACCATCCCTTACCATGTTCATGACTGTGAGGATGTATGTGGTAACATTTCCCTTGCCATGTTTTTCCACCATTTTCTTGTCTGCTACCACGAGGGTCTCCACATTTAGGCCCTTTTGTGACTTTCCAGCAGATCTTCTGGGTCGTCCTGAACTCCCATATTCATCAAACCTTAGGTACGTATCATCTGTGGGAGGTTTGGGGGCATCTATGGTGAACATAAGAGCATTTGGAAGGCATGTCAGTAGAGAGTATCTGTGTGAGGGGGTAAGACAGACTGAGAGATAAATCTAAACAAAGGAGAGAAACTATGGAACCAATATCTTACTAGTCCACTCAGAAGTGATGCCATCACTACCTGACCTGGTGCTGAGTTCTTAGCGCAGTCAAGAAAGATCCCTTCAATAGCTGTTTGAATGTTTAGATGAACAGATGGGTGGATGGATGCATTCGGTAACTCAAAAATGCTCTAAAGAATGAAAATAAAGAACAAGAAAAAATGCCTACAATTCTGGTTGGCAGAGCAGGTCAAGTGACTGTTGTGTGAGGATTTTTTTCAAAAGGAGACCAGTGCTTGGGGGCTATCATTTGATTTAGAGTAGATGAATATAGCTGTAAGCAAAATGAGCCATACTTTGAAAGATATACACTGTATATCCCCACTCAGTATGTGTCGAATATCTGCACTCGATGGCAGAAATGGAAAGATCTGAAGATATGATAGTAGAGGAGATAAGTATGGATTATGGAGACTATAAGGAATAGGAGTAGGTGGTAGAGAGTGGGTGGTGGTAGGAGAGCAAAGGAAGAAACATTTAACAAACAAAAGAATGCAAAGTTCTCTGTGGGGAAAAAAGTTTTGTAATTTTTGCTTTGTGAAAGTTTAAAATTACATTTAAAAAAATCAAGACAGAATTAGATTTTAAAATTTAGGTTGACTACTTATCATTCCTGTGACCTGAACTCAGTTTCATGAAGCTGCTCTAAAGATTAGCTTGGATATCTCATATCAAATATACACTATTACTGCTATAAGTAGCATTACTAGTATTAGTTTCACTATTACTATAGACACGCTAAGTGAGTGTTCCTTAATGAAGAACACTATCTTTAATTACTGTTCCTGGGTAAAATCTCAGGGATGCCAGTTCTTTTTTTCCCATTATAAGAAGCTTCGTCTGTCTGTGATATTCAGCTCAGTACCCATTTGCCTCACATAGTTCTGAATCATTGAAATGCAGCTGATACAATAGAGGAAGTGGATTTAAAAAAAAATCAATAAAAAAGCAATACTGGATTATTATTGAACAGAATTTAAAATATATTTGAAACAAATTGAGTATGTAACTACTTTTCTGATCTTAAATTTTATTAAATCTGAATACAGACTAGGTATTTCTGATGAAAATGCACCACCTGCATTGAAATTATGCTGTAAATATAAAGAGTGGATTTCTGAAACTGAATATTTAAAAAGTGCATAAAATCCCTCCTTAATAACTTGTTAAATTGCTTTATGTTGAAATATTTTGTAGATACTAAGATAAAATGTTATTAAAAATAATTTATGTTTTTTAAACTTTCTAACAGTGTGGCTGTTAAGAAATTTTAAAATATATTTAGGGCTTGAATTACATTCCTATTGTCCATTATTGGTCTAGACAATGCTGAAGGTTGTTCCTGAGACCCAGCCATGCCCAAGGGTCCCTGCGTTTCACTGCTAGCTCTCCTCACATGCCATTGTTTTTCTTTTCTAGAAAATCTCTCCTTCATTCTCAGAAGGAGTACTGAGGCCACCAAGGAATTTACCTCTGAGTTCCTTCATCATTGGAAGTCTGGGTAGTTTTGCCAAGAACAACAACAACAAAAACCAGATAAGATGCTACTTACCTGCACTATGTAACAAGCCAGACTATGAAAGATAGGGATTGTATGTCGCTACTCTGTATATAACAAATGTTTACATTTTATAGCAGAAACTGAAACACTGGAAGGTTTAATAGTAGGGAGGCCAACTGTAGGTGCTAGAGATGGTATAGAAAAGGGTGGAAGGAAGGGGATAGGGAAAAAACATACAAAACATTTAATAGACACAAAAATGAAAAAGTTATCAGTTGATGATAGTATATACGGTAATGTCTTTGACTTGATTAATATGCACCATTTTCATGCTGGGAAAAACCATGTTATACTCTGTAAAGATATACAGTGATTAAATGTAAATTAAAAAAGATAAACTAAAAAAAATAGATTGATACTTATAGCTAAAAAGTAGGAGATGATAAAAGAGCAAAAAAATTAAACCACCGTGGAGAACAATTCAGAGATTCCTCAAAAAATTTACAAATAGAACTGCCATATGATCCAGCAATCCCATTTCTTGGCATCTACCAAAAGGACAGAAGAATTTCTCATTGGAAAAGTGCTTGCACATTGATGTTTACTGCGGCACTTTTCACGATTGCTAAGACATGGAATCAACCCAAATGCCCCCGTACGGATGAATGGATTGAAAAACTGTGGCACATATACTCTATGGAATACTATTCAGCCATTAAGAACATGTGTGAAGGAGTGGAACCTGGGGAAGAACATTTGGAGGAGGGATACGAAGACAGCATTGTTGAAACAGGGAGGTAGTGCTGCTATATTTTGATCAACTCGACGGGGGAGAAATGTTCATATATTGAAATGATCACCTTGTAAGCTAAATAATGTAATTGAATGTATTTTTAAAAAGTAAATAAAAATTAAAAAATAAAATAAAAAGAGAAGAAAAAAAGAGCAAAAAGAGAAATCATCTAAAAATGTTTGCTAATTTAATCCAGAAGTGACCATCCAGCTACTCTCTGAGGTGGGTCATGACTGTCCTCCAAGCCTGAACTGCAGTGGGTGCCAATACAGTCTCATGTAAACCTGCAGAAACAGCTCATGAGCACCAAGGAAACCCAGCCAGGCCCACATTAAAACAGAACAAGTAAAAGTTTCCTTACATACATTTCTTGCGTCGTCCACAAAAATGCTGCTTTTGCAACCTTCGATGATAGGCTGTTTCTTGACTCTGAGATGCATGGGGAGGGTGAGGTGGGGAGTGACCAGGAGAGTTCGGGCTGGCACCGGGGTAGCCATGGTACCGCTGGACCTTCTCCTCTGCTGTCCTTTTGTACAGTACGTGAGGGTGGTGGCCTGCAGGAGAGCTGTAGTTGTGTTCCTGGGCCAGCAACTGAGGTAACGGCGAGATGAGGAATTCATTTTTGTGTGTCCTTATTAGACCTGACTAAAAAGCCAAACACACACAAAAAAAAACATTCATGATTCCACACATCCCCTTTTCATGGGATGACTTCTGGCAACTATTTATCAACAGCTTCCTGTGACACGACACTGTGCCAAGGGCTGGATATGTACCATCCCATTCTTATCTGTACCATTACAAGCTGCCATTATGTTCGTTTCGTTTTACAGAGTAGAAAACTAAGGCTGACAGTGAGCAAAAATAAGCTAGTATTGGGGCCAGCAGATGGCATAGTGGTTATGCTGCTGGACTCCCACATGGCCAACAACAGTTTAAGTCCCAGATCTGGTGACTTGAAAATCACCCTAGACACATGTACATGTGCATCCAGGATCCTGGGAGGAGAATGGAGGAAAAAGGATTGTGGTGTGGCCATCCCCGGGTGGGTGATTCCTCACTTTCCCTCTGTCTCTGTCTCTCTCTGTTGAATGCACACACTCTAAGGCAAAAAACTTCTTTTTAAAAAAATGAAACTAGTATTGGCACCCAGAGTCCTCTACCTTTCAAGGCAGTGCTCTAAACCACTAGGCTAGCTGATCTTTGTGCCTGAAAAGCTGACCTATGGGACACTCTCGGAGCCTCTGCATCTGTGACATGGTAGATACTGGTGAACACCAGATGAGTGGTGAATGTAAAAACACCCATGTAGTTAATAAACACAATGGCGTTCCATCCTGACCTCATAAGCACTAAATAAGAGGATTAGCAAAGATGGAAAAAGAAGGGGCAGTTATCTCTAAAGGGGGATCTGGAGAATCCAGTGAGCTACGCCACTGCGAATAGGTATGTTTGTTCAATCAAAACAATGGAGGGGGGACCAGCAGTTAGCATAATGGCTATGTCGCTGGACTCTCAGGTAGTCGACCGCGGTTCAAGTTCTAGACCTGGCGGCTTAAACTCACACCGGGCGCATGTGCGTGCGTGCCCAAGATCCCAAGAGGAGAATGGAGGAGAAGGGATTGCAGCGTGGCCATCCCCCCTGGGGGGTGATTTCTCTCTTTGTATCTCTGTCTCTCTCTGTCTTTCTGGCGAGCGCACGCGCCCTATAGCGAAAACCTCTCAAAAAACAAACAAACAAACAAACAAAAAACAGAGGGACCCTGGCAAACTTCTCCCATTGCAATTTCACTTTCCGAGTTCATGGCATAGTACACGTCTCTTTGTACCTGATATTACAGACACATGCACCCTTGCCTTTCTTCTGGAGCATACTGCACTGTCTTCTCTGCACACCGGAGTTCCCTGATACTCAGGTCCTGCTACACAGTGTGACCAGCAGCTTTCGACACACTCAGGAGCTTGTTAGAAAGGCAGAAGCTTGGGACAAAATGGTGGCACAGGGCAAAATGCAACACTACGTGATGATGACCCCAATGAGGTTTCCGAGTTCGTGTCCTGAGGTGTCCCTGAGTATGCCAGGTAAAATTTCTATTATCTGGGGCTGGCTGGAGGTGGGTCATGGCATTAAGACCCATGACCTTGGGCCAGCCCATGGCCTAGTGGTTAAGAGAGCTGGATCTCACATGGCTGACTGCAGTCTGAGTCCCAACCCTAGCAGCTTGAAAAACATAGGGGGCTTGTGTGTATGAATGCCTCAAATCCCAACAGGATAAAGAAATGGATGAGAAGGGATTAAGGTGTGACCACCCCTCACTGAGGGGAAGGGTGCTTTCTCCTCTCTCTGATAAGCGTGCACACCCTCTTTCAATAAAAATAAATAAATAAATAAATCCATGGTCTTAGGAGTATGTCTTTCTCACTTATAGAAAAAAAATTAATAAATAACAAACTTTAAAGAAGGTAAGCAGGCAGGTGCATGCATGCATGCATGCATGCTTGGGTCTCACCTCTGACTTGTTTAATAAGAATTTACATTAGCAAGATTCCCCAGGTGACTCATATGTCTATTAAATGCACACTGATACAGGTCAGCAACTCTTATGCACACTGATACAGGTCAGCAACTCTTATACTTGGTTGAACATTAGGATCACCTGGAGATCTTAAACATCTATCGCAGGCAGAATCCCAATAGGGCGTGATCAAGCCTCAAATCCCTCTCCTCTATTTCTCAATCCTGTTGGAATTTTGGGCATGGACACACATGCACCCAGTGTTTTTATTCAAGCTGTTAACGCCAGGTTTTCGACTGTGAACGTAGAATCTGGCTTCCATAACCGCTGGGCTATGGAGCTGACCCTGCTTCCACTTTTCGAACCTGCTGTTATTTTACATTAAATGTTATTTGCCCACACCTCTCTGCCTTGCAATATTCTCCCATCCATGTGCTTGGCTCTAGTGCACATTACAGGTGTCTCGGCTTAAACATCACCTCCTTAGAGTAGCTATACTCATAACACCATTGGAAATGCCCTCCTCCACTTCCAAATAACCTCGGGCCACAGTATATTGGTTTTGTCTTCAGTGATGAAAACCAACACAATGAAATCTTTTCTCTACCACCCTAACATACATCTTAACATATACTCTGTGATACAGAGACTACATAGGTATCTCTGACACATGCCACATGCTATCAGCCAACACCTACTAGTTCTTAGACTACGGAGATCTGTCAGAGTAGAAGGGATGCTAAGCGGTCTCAGGCTTTATGGAGGAGGAACCAGAACTGGGAAGCAACAAGTTCAAAATCATAAAACAGGGGCTGGCAGATGGTGTGGTGGTTCAGGAGCTGGATCCCCACAGTTTGAGTGTGGGAACTTGAACTCCTACTGCAGTTCAAGTCCCAGATCTAGTGGCTTGTTTCCCTACTGCCCCCACCCTTGGTCAAATTAAAAAAAAAAATAATAATAATAATAATAGGGACCAGCAGATGGCATAATGGTTATGTCACAGGACTCCCATGTAGTCAACTGCAGTTCAAGTACTGGACCCAGTGGCTTGAAACTCACACCGGGCGGGTGTGTGCGCATGCCCAAAATCCCGAAAGGAGAATGGAGAAGGAATTGCAGTGTGGCCATCCCCCATCCCCCCTGGGGGGTGATTTTTCTGTCTGTCTCTTTGGCGGGTGCATGCATCCCATAGCAAGAATCTTTCAAAATAAATAAATAAGCTAATTAAATTAAGTAATTCTTTTAAAGATCATAAAACACACAAACTCTTCTTTGTTTCAGGTGGGAAGCCAGGAACGTCCCATGCAATACTCTATTTAAGCCTCAAAACTATCTGTGGAAATCGCAGCTGGAGGCATGGATAGAGTTCAGAGCCTACTTGAGCTTGCCTCTTCCAAGCAGCAGGCAGACAAAAGACACAATTTAAAGTTCCCCACAGACAGAGTGAAAGGAAAAATAAAAAAGGAGTGAATTATCCTGAAAGCCCTCCAGCCTTACTAACTTCCTTACTCAGTTCAACTAATGTCAAAGGTTTAAGCCACTTAAGTGCTTCAACTGGACTAACCAGTCTGGAAGCTTTCTATTTTTTTCCTGTTTCACTAAAACTGTAGGCCACTCACGTGTGCAGTGCAAATTTCTATATTCAGAAAGCGATGAATTGGGACCAACACAGCCTTCCATCTTTCAGTTTAGACTGATAGGGACAAAAATCTGAAATGATTCTTTGTAACTAAACAAGAATTTTACAGAGCTAGACATTAAGAAAGCAAAAAATAAAAAAATTTCTGGTTTAGTTCAATGAGAAACATTGGAAAGTAAACAAATAAATACACTTTATGGCTTAAAAATATAAAGCCAGTACATGCCAAAGGAGCCGTGTGTTTGTTTACTTGTGGTGGGTGTGTGAAGCACTTTGAGTTACTAAACCCATGCAACGTTAAGGCTGCATAGTGGGGAACAAGAGGGATCTGTGGTCTCATGTGGCTTCCAATTAAATGGGGGAAACAGGGATTAAACAAGCAAATATCACCCATAGGAATGAAATAGTCCTTTGTATAAAGTATTAAGTAAAAGACCAGGGTTCTCTGAGAGAAAATAGCAGAAGGGATGAGCAAAGTGAGGAAACTAATTTGAGAGTAGGACATCATAGAATGCTTTTTGGAGGACCTGCATTTGTATTGAGGCCAGAATCCTGCCTGGTACATGGAACTAAGAAATGGATGTCTCAGAGCTAAGGAAGGACAAAGCTGGTAAGAGCAGGAAGAAAACAGAGAGACCCAGTGGCCTAAGAACGGAATGTTGTGTGTTGGTCTGCTAGTGCACTGCTAACAGAAGTACCTAAGATTGGGTAATTTTTCAAGAACAGAAGGTTTATTAACTCACAATTCTTGTGATCAGCACAACCAATTCTCAAAGCAGACATCAGACCAGCCTATACCAGAGCATGGTTAACAGACACAGAAAAGATGGAGGACAGCCATCTTTCTTTTGTAACAACCCACTGTTGGGAGAACTTCCTTCTCAAGAGAGCAAAAACACACTGGGTCTGCAGAGACAGCACTAATCCATTCATGAGGGTGAGGCCTCCTTGATCCAGTGACCACCCACGAGGCCTCATCTCAATGTTATTACAGTGGAGATCAAATTCCAAAACATCAACTTTGGGGTACAAACCAGAAACCAAACCACAGCAAAGTGTGAAGATACCTCAGGCTTTCCTTAGAGCAGAGGACAGGAAAGGACCCAAGGTGACTGAATGTAGGTGCCACAAGCTGATGAGGAAATTTCCTTCAACTCCATCCAGGGAGACTTTTTCAATAGACAAGGGAGCCAGAGGTTAAAAAAAACTGGAAGGCACCACCTACTGGACTCTGCCAAAAGGCCAGCTCACCCTGATTCTTCCTTCATTGAGTGTACCAACTTCTCCAGGTTTGGGATTTTTTTTTTTTATTTATTTTTAAAATTTTTGCTAGAGGGCATATGCACTCACTGGAGGGAGACAGAGAGAAAGAGAAAGAGATAGGGAAAGTGAAAAAGCACACCTCTTCCCCCATGAGAGAATGAGAGATGGTCATGCCACAATCCCTTCTCCATTTTCCTCTTGAGATTTGGGACATGCATGCACATGTA